TTGGAAAATACTAGGCTAGTTTGTGCCCTTCTTTGAAAGTCTTTCCTAATGTCTCTAACAAGATGCTCTTTTCCACCTCTCCGGAGCCCCAAACGACTTTATCATCTCTCTCGGGACACTTCTCATATTCCACCTTGACTAATATGGACTTGGATATACGTCTTATCCTAGTAGGGTGCATACAATGTCTTCTTTATGTTTATATCCCCTTTGGTGCCTGGCACTCAGTAGGGACTCACAAACTTGCTGAACAACAGAGAGTGCAAACCAACTGGAAGTCCCTTACCTGGCTTTGTTCCTTGTCTGCTTGTACTTCCTGCAGTTGCCCAAGGAGCTTCTCTTGTTCCCGAGTCAAGGCCTTCACTGTGTCTCTAACCCTGTGGGTGGGAGATGACATGTTGGAGAATCTGGTGACCCAGAGAAGGAAAGGAGGACTTGGACCTCTGTCTTGTACTCTTCTACTGGTGTTTCTCTAGGTCTAGCCCTCCATTTCAGTTTGGCATGCTTACATCCCCAAACCAGATGATCCAGTTCTAAGCCCCTACTGACCTGATTCCTGGTTTTATCTAGAATTAGCATGATCTTGAAATAAAGTTGTCTTTTCCTTTCTATATATTTATTATTTTGTAAAAGTTCATTGGGCTTGGGACCAGCAGTTAGCATAATGGCTATGTCGCTGGACTCCCATGTAGTCAACCGCAGTTCGCGTCCTGAACCCGGTGGCTTAAAACTCACGCCGGGCATGTGTGCGTGTGTGCCCAGGATCCTGAGAGGAGAACAGAGGAGAAGGGATTGCAGCGTGGCCATCCTCCCTGAGGGGTGATTTCTCGCTTTCTATCTCTCTGTCTCTGTCTGTCTGGCAAGCACACGCACCCTATAGCAAAAACCTCTCAAAAAAAAAAAAAAAAAGTTAATTGGGCTGGCCCCATGGCTTAGTTGTTGGGGGAGTTGGATTCCACATGACTGGATGCATGGTTCAAGTCCTGGCCCTAGCAGCTTGAGAAACATGCTAGGCACGGGTGGGTGCATGCCCAACGTCCCAACAAGATGGAGAAATGAAGGAGCTGCCTCATACTGAAAGAGGCTACCACCTGAAAGTGCTCTCTTACACAACCTCTTACATACTTTACAATCCTCCCAGCACTGAGATTCTATGTTTTAGACCTTCTTTCAGGGGAGAGATTTCCTAATGTTCTTGGATCACCATTTCTTTTTTTTTTTTTAAAGATTATTTATTTATTTAATTCCACTTGTTATTATTTTTTAATTTGACCAGAGAGAGAGAGAGAAAGGAAAAGTGAGAAAGAAAGTTGCCAGGTCTGGAACTCGAATCGCAGTCAGCCATGTGGGAATCCAGTGCCTTTAACCATCATGCCATCTGCTGGCCCCAGTGGATCACTACCTTGTTTTTTTTTTTTTTTTTTTTTTGAGAGGGATTTTTGCTAT